ATATTTTTATATATCTATATTTAGACCATAGAACGAGACTCGGTTCAATCGGACCCTTATGAAAATATTGTGAGTTGTCCTACGTGGTCAACTTCTGTGAGAGTTGTCCTGGAAATATACCTTTTTGTTTTTGTTATCCGTCCCATTTTTCTGTTCTCTTTTCAGGTTGTAGCCCGATTAGGAGTTTTTTATTTGTAACCTTTAGTTGTTGTTTTTAGATTTTCTTTTAAAAAAATGTTTCCATTATTTTCGTTAAATAAATTTTATAAATTTTTACGGTTTTTGTTTTATTTTAGTTAAGACTAAGTTTTGAATATCTAGTCTAGTTTGTCTTGCATGGCGTGATAGTTGAAAGATAAAACTAGGGAAGTAGATTAGTCCACCTCCTTGTTAGGGCTTACAATAATATTAGACTTTGCACTATACAGGCACCTATTACTCACACTTAGTAGCTTCAAATAGAACTTAGACAAAGAAACTGAATGTGCAGCAACCCCCTAGTTTATTACACTATCAATTCTATATTTATCTACAAAATTTTTTTTTATCTACTGTTATTATTTGTTGTGTACGTTAAAAAAGTTCATTTAAAACTTTCAGGCCTAAGTTTCGTTTTGATTTTATTATTTCTTCTTAGTTTCATGTGGTGTCACTCGGTATACACTTGTCTTATGTTTTAATTTGAAAATAACGGACAGACAGTAGTTTTAAGAGCGCACGTGGAATATTTTCACCGAGTGCGGCACCTAAGTGTGTCACCCCATAAAGAATTATATATATATATATATATATATATATATATATATATATATATATATATATATGTATGTGTGTGTGTGTGTCTGTTTGTTTGTTTATATTTTATGCATAAATACACCTCTTATCACATCGCCATGAAACTTTGGGAAGTTGTTCAGAATATTCCTGGAGAGGTTTCAGCGAAAGAAAAAATTCAAATTCTCCGGGGTGGCGCTCCGGCGGGGCGCGATTTTTTTCTCTCTATATATACGGCATATAAAAATAAACGTCGATAGTGGTTTTGCTCAGTTCATCCGATCCCCATCAAACTTTGGAAAGTTGATTAGGAGACTCTGGGGATGGGTTCTTTAAAAAAAAATATGTTTAATTTCGCAAGGGCGGCTCCTCGAGGGGGGTGCGATTTTTCTCTATGTACGGTATATAAAAATAATAAACGTGAATTGCAGTGACACCGTTCATTTGATAGGCATGCAACTTTAGAGAGTTCATTATAAAAATTTAGGGAAGGGTTTTGTAAAAAAAAAAACATTTTTAATTTCGCAAGGGCGGTGCCACAGGAGGGTGCGATTTTCCTCAATATACGGTATATAAAAATAATAAAAGTGAATTGCATTGACACAGTTCACACAATCACTATCAAACTTAGGGAAGATGTTGAGGATACTCCTGGAGAGGTTACTGCGTAAAAAACAATTATAAAATTTCCAGGGGTGGCGCCACGGGAGGGTTCGATTTTTCTCTATATACGGTATATAAAAAATAAAATTCAGATGCGGTTCGTTCGTGTGCCATGAAACTTTGAGGAGTTGATAAAAATACTCCCAAGAAAGTTTATGTGAACAAAATAATGAAATTATGATAAGAGTTGCTCCTGCATGGGTGTGATTTTCGTCAATAAACAATTTGGCGCCCAGAGTTCCAGAGCGACTACGATAGCACGTGGTATCCGCTCCGCTAATCGTGCGCCCTGCATAGTGGGTAAGGAGTACTATGAAGTCAGCGTAAAAACTTCAAGAGGCGCAACCGTCGGTGCTCCGTAGTTTGCACGACCCGAAGCGCCCCGGGCTCCCCTGCTAACACTATGGCGTCTACGTTTATTAAAAAAGTCTATACACTAAAGACACGACAGGCAACAATAATCTTTGACTATATCGAACCAGGCGCGTCCCTCGGCGCCCCTGCAGGGTTCAATTTGGCGCCCTGATCTTTTCCGTGAGCGAAATGATACCAGAATTGTTCTAAACAGTGCGGTAGATAATGGATAAGATGGGCCGTTACAGTCGCTCACTAAAGTGAATCAGGCGTGTCAACCGGCGCGCTGGTAGGGTGCGATTTGGCTGCAAACATAAAATTTAGTTTCGGACCCCATAAAAGCTCATGCGGGCTGCCGAGGGTCCTGTAATATTTTTTTGTTAATAATCACTAAATTCAACCAAGGTTAGATTATTAACACTGGGTTGTTTCTTTTTGTCCGTAAAAAATCGAAACAATCCCTATATTTATGATCCAAGCCTATGCATTGTTTACATTTAAATAACTCAGTTTTAGAAAACAAGGTCACGCGTCTTAGAACACATGATGAAACCTTTCTTATATATTTCATCAGACTTTCTTATATCCCCGCGGCAACGCGCGGGGGATGTGTACTCTAGTATATATATAAAACAATGTATGTTTGTTTGTTTGTCTTTTATGCATTACTACACCTCTGATCAAATCGCCGTGAAACTTTGGGAAGTTGTTGAGAATATTCTTGGGGAGGTTTTAGTGATAAAATATATTTTAAATTCGCTTGGGTGGCGCCCCGGTAGGGCGCGATTTGTTTCATATTTGTTGTATATAAAAATAAAAGTCGATTTTGGTTTGACACCGTTTAACCGATAGGCATGTGACTTTGGAGAATTGATTAGAATACTAACTGGAAGGGTTCTGTAAAAAATCATATTTAATTTCGAAAGGGCGGAGCCACGGGAGGGTGCGATTTTTTTCTATGTACGGTTTATAAAAATAATAAAACTAAATTGCAGTGACATCCTTCACACGATCACCGTGAAACTTTGGGAAGATGTTGATAATACTCCCGGGAGGTTTCTGCGCAAAAAAAAAACACTACCTAAAAGGGTTCTGCAAAAAACTTTTTTTTTTAATTTGCAAGGGCGGCGCCGCGGGACGGTGCGATTTCTTTCTATGAACAATATATAAAAATAATAAGACTAAATTGCAGTGACATCGGGAGGGTGCGATTTTTCTCTATATAAGTTTATATAAAAATAAAAGTCGATTGCAGTTTCACAACAATCATCCGATCGTTTTCGAACTTTGAGGAGTTGATTATAACACTACCTGGAAGGGTTCTGCAACCAAAAAAAATTATTTCGCAAGGGCGGCGCCACGGGAGGGTGCGAATTTTCTTTATATAGGTATAAAAAAAAAAAACGCCTATTGCGGTTTCATCCGATCACCATCAAACTTTGGGGAGTTGATTAGAACACTTCAGTGAAGGTTTCTGCACAAAATGTATTTTTTAATTTTGCAAGGGCGGCGCCACGGAATGGTGGGATTTTTCTCAATATACGGTATATAAAAATAATAGACGATTGCAGTTCGACGATATTTATCCCGGTGCCATGAAACTTTAGGGAGTTGATGAAAACTCCCGAGAAGTGGGGAATAGGGGTGGGTGGGTGGTGGGGGCGGAGGATTTAAATTTGCATTGGCGCCCCCCCCCCTGCAGGATGCGATTTGGCGCCCTGGTTTTTTCCCGTTCGTGCTATGGTGACTACCTTCGGTCAAACAGTGTGATAAAACACGTCAAATAATTTTTTTGTGTTAAATAACAAATACTGTTTATTTGTGTCACTTTAGTGAATGACGAAATCAGAATCATTGTTAAAAGGATGTTTTTTGCCCGATGGCGCCGGTTAGTTTTAAGGAGACAGGGGCCGTACTCGGCGATTGATTAATGTACACTCAAGGATTTATGATCCAAGCACAGGCATTGTTTACATTTAAATAACTCACTTTTAAAAAACATGGTAACGAGTCTAAGAATATAGGATTGGTAACGCATGGATGAAACCCTTCTTATATATTTCGTCGGACTTTCTTCTACTCCCGCGGCAACGCGCGGGGACGGGTACGCTAGTATATATATATATATATATATATATATATATATATATATATATATATATATATATATATATATATAAGTTTTTATATGTAGAAGTTTTTTTCTTTTTATGTGTATACTAATTTTGTAGTTAAATTATTATGATTTTACATATTCAAATGAAAGTATTCAAATTTTCAAGATTAAATTGATTTTGGAAGTGTATTAATTGTTTCGAAAAAATTTGGCAACTTTTTTTCATAACTGACGAAAAGCGGCAAATTGTGTCAATGTTTCAAGTCAACGATTTCTATTCATCTGTTGCTCGCTTGTTATTGCCTAATGATATATAGATTTGTTAACTTCTATGTGCAGAGGCATAGCGATGGGAGGGGGGGGGGCAGGGGGACTCATATGTCTCGCCGACCTTAGGGGGGCCAAAATGGGTTGGAAAAAGCAATAGACAGTTTACAGGGGGGGGGTGCAAATCGAAATTTTGTCCCCGGGCGCCGGGAATGGTCGCTACGCCTCTGTCTACGTGGTTTTACAAAAATCCACTTTGGTGGCCGGTGTATTTGGTGTCACCTCCCCTAATATCATTTTGTCGTGTGGCGTCAACTTATATTAATCCACCAAAAGAAGGCATCAAGTGGCTAAATTCTAGCAGTTATTAAATCAAGTGAAAAAATCATTGCTTTTGTAGAAAACTGTTAAATTTTGTGTCACTTCCAAGCTAGTAGTCAATAGACATATTGGTTATTACTATCAATAGTACGTTTTTAATAAAGCTTGATTTTGTATTGTTTTCTCTATCGTTGCAAGGTTTACGTCATGTTGTCAAACCCCCCCCCCCCCCCCTCAACGAAGTCGAGATTTTTATCAACTTGGATCTTAGAAGACTATTTAACTCTAATTAATTATTCACTTAACTAGAACGATTATATTTTTGCTCTATATATATTTGCCATTTTTCGTCTTGTTGTTGCCCTGTGTGGTTAGTACCCCCTGCCTCCGTTCGCGACGCTTGATTCAATTACTATAATGTAACACAAATAAACGCATGAAATTTGTTAAGTTAAACTTTTATTTATTTATAAACTATCGTTTAAAATAAATTCCATCATGACATCATGTCAAAGATGTTTCCACCGGAAATTAATGAAGCTAGAAGATCCACTTAAGGAGGATCAAGTTTAACTGGAGGAACATCATTAGGCAAAGCCCTAGCGACATGCGTTGAATTCTGGAAGATGCGGTCAGGAACACGCTTGAAACGGTCTGCTGATCGTTTACTTAATTGTAGAGCTTCCCAGGTGAAATCTCCACTTGTACCAACAACATCATCAAACCTGCCAGTAAGTTGAAAGGCGTATCGATTCTCATCGCACAAGTCATTTACCATTTGTTGAAATCCTGGATACGCGTTTCTCAGGTCGTTCCACAACCAAGGCTGTGAACTTGTATCGCTCTGTTGCTTTAGGTCTGTGTAAAATGGGACGCTGGAGCTGCCAAACTTGTAGTTCACACTTGAATCACTTTCCCTACCATGATACTTGTTATGATAATTTGTGTAGGTATCGTGCTTTCCATCACCCCCACGAAGAAGGCCTTGAAGCTCGGTAGAAAACCTGGCTATGATTGTAGCCGTGTACGTTATTGAAGTTCGTGTTTTTGCAACGATAAATTTCCATTTGGCAGCAGAATATGCATTAATATTTTTACTTGTAGAAATTGTAAAATTCTTTGTTGTTTTGTCACTTTTTTCATTTTGTGTAGAAATGCTTGTCTCATATCCAAACTTGTATCCAGCACTAATTCCCGCTCCTGGTGGATTGTAAGTAACTTGGATGTTTAGTTCAAGATTGTTTTTCCAAGAACTGGTTGTCGTGTGGGTGACTGTGCGAACGCTGGTCTCACTTCGTATAATAGTCTTCATAGCATTCGTCACGTCATTGTTATAAAAAGTCCCCGAGTCTATAGTTTCTGGTACTAAGTTTTGGATAATGGGAGATCCGTATTTGATGTCTTTTATAGCGAAGCTCCAGTCGCCGTAAGCCATATTGAGGCGTAGTTCATGCCAATAGCCACGACAGATATTTGAAAACCATGTGTCGCCGTCTCTAACAAAATCCTCGCCAATAAAATTGCTTTTACAACCTCCACACCAGCGGTATCCGAGATGCTTCGAAAATTAAGCAATGTCCTGCATGGTAGTGTCCATGATGCGTGTCTTCACCTTGTAGAGCTCGTCCAGTACTTCTGGTGCAGACACCAGCTTGCAACATCGCAAAGTCTCTATACAATAAAGTCTATTACAGTTCACCTTGTACAAACCAGTGACATAGTAACCATCATTACATTTACACAAACCTTTGTTAGCAAAACATTTCCTAATGTCGTGTTTATAACAGTCACTATAAGATGTTGGGTGGTCAGCTGGTTTAAAACAACGTCCCTCTTTTATGTCTTCCAAATAGCCACCGTCACTGTATCTCGTTCTGAAAAAACCGTTAAGAAAATAACCAGTAGGACAGAGTGACCAGGAGTTTTCTTTATTAAACGAGTACCACCAATTAGCAATCATTGTTTGTGTTCTTGATTTGTCCCATGGTGAATTTGTCGAACAACATTCAACTCCTTCTATTAAATCTACACTGTCCTTTTCATCACTCGTGAAGGCAGCTCGATAAAAGCCAGAGATAATATCATTTTGGTTATTACACATTGATGTTCCAGTTTCTTTCCAACTTTCCGTCCAGTCTATTCTGCTGCAACCAGCACCTCCAGTGTCAACTAAAGCCATAAGCACAACGACGTGAGCTAAAGACATCTTTTTCGTACAATCTGAAACACTGATATTTTTTTTAGGTTGAGAAACAATGTTTTCACAAATGCAGTTTTATTGTTCAGAATGCAAATAATATTAGAACACTTGCAAAAGCAGAGGACGGGTGGCATATATGTATTATTTTTACTATCTCGTATACGAAGTATAGAGGAAGTATTGTAATCATGAGAAAACTCGAAATTGAAACTTTTATGTCCTTCTGTCGGAAAACTTAATTTTACGGTTCTCTATAGATCTGTAAGTGTATTTGTATCTGTCTTTCTGTAAAAGCTTAAAATTCGTTTCATTTATGTTGATAGAACGTCTTCTGATTAGTAAATCAAATTTTAAGTTCTGTACCAAATTTGGAACGATTTCCAGAACTCGAAAGTATAGTAAACTGAAGTAATACTTACACTGCTACCGTTTTCACAAAAAGCTATTTCTTGCGTAAAGCTATAACTTGAGTAAAACTATTAGTTTGATAAACACAATTACACTACGGTTACGGTTACGGTTACGGTTACGGTTACGGTTACGGTTACGGTTACGGTTACGGTTACGGTTACGGTTACGGTTACGGTTACGGTTACGGTTACGGTTACGGTTACGGTTACGGTTACGGTTACGGTTACGGTTACGGTTACGGTTACGGTTACGGTTACGGTTACGGTTACGGTTACGGTTACGGTTACGGTTACGGTTACGGTTACGGTTACGGTTACGGTTACGGTTACGGTTACGGTTACGGTTACGGTTACGGTTACGGTTACGGTTACGGTTACGGTTACGGTTACGGTTACGGTTACGGTTACGGTTACGGTTACGGTTACGGTTACGGTTACGGTTACGGTTACGGTTACGGTTACGGTTACGGTTACGGTTACGGTTACGGTTACGGTTACGGTTACGGTTACGGTTACGGTTACGGTTACGGTTACGGTTACGGTTACGGTTACGGTTACGGTTACGGTTACGGTTACGGTTACGGTTACGGTTACGGTTACGGTTACGGTTACGGTTACGGTTACGGTTACGGTTACGGTTACGGTTACGGTTACGGTTACGGTTACGGTTACGGTTACGGTTACGGTTACGGTTACGGTTGCGGTTGCGGTTGCGATTGCGGTTGCGTTTTCGGTTACGGTTACGGTTACGGAACCATTCATTTATACATCCGTGTATTCGTTTTTCGTCCATTCGTCCAACCGTCCAACCATCCATTTCTTCATCCGCCCATCCATAGATCCGCCTATTCGTCCTTCCGATCCTCTGTCCAACCGTCAATCTGTTCGTCCATCGGTTCGTCTGTCCATCCTTCCTTTATTCCGTCCGTCTATCCGTTTCTTTGTTCATTAATCCTTCCATCCACCATCCACCATCCCAGAACCCATCCATCCATCATTTTACCCATAAACTACTCTTTCCACCCATCCATGCATCTATTCTTTCATAACTATTTATCATATATGTTCTTATTTAAGAAGTGACCAATATAGATACTAACCTACTGTGCAATTTTTAAAATTGTATTATATGTAAAGGTATGTCGGACTGGGGTCATAAATATTGGACTATTTAAATTTTGTTCAACATTACACGGTGTAAGTTGCAACATAAACTTAAAATCTGATATTTTAATAAATAAAGTTGATAAATAAAGTTGATGTTACTAGTGTATAAACTAAATTTAAAGCGGTAGCTTTTCCATAGCGCGTAACCATGTTTGCAGGTGCATGCAAAAATATATCCAGTTGTAAGTACGGTAAGAACCCCTCAGTATGTATTGAAATTACTCCCTGTTTTTCCAATCAAATACAAAGATAATAGACAGGAAAATAAGACTGGTCAATTTTTATCTCTTTCATGATTTTCACGATTTTTCCCGGATATGGCGAGTTTTTCTGACACCCCTATTGCACTTTACTAGCATCTCAAAAAATTTCAAAGATGGTCGTACGACAAAAGTATATTATAATATATTGCTCATATAAGGGGAATGTCAGTTGTCAGTTTGACCCCCTGATCGCGGACTTAGCTAGTACCCATTTTATGTTCGCCCGAGGCAGAAGCCTGCCAAATTTGAAGCGACTGCGGCGCTGGGAAAATCCTGGCGTTTTTTACTTTCTCTCAAAATATCAAGGGGGGGGGGGGTTGGGTCGTTCGGCAATTTTTTTTTAATATATAGCGCATATAAGGCGCGGGTCATTGGAGGTCGGTTTTGATCTCATTATCGTAGACTTTGCGGTCCACCATTTTCTGTTGGCTCGATGCAGATGCCTGCCTAAATTGAGCGCCTGCGCCCCGATCGGGCACCCGACCACTTTGCTTTATAAATATTTAATGATATGCAATATAGTTTAAAAATCTAAAAAAAATTAATTTGTGAAACATACTATTTTTAATGTAGTTCAAGCTATTTGAACAAGTGAGGGCCTTTTACAGTGAATTTTTCGTTAGTACTTAACAAAAGGAAATATTTACATAATGTTTACATACATTTTTTTTTTAAATTACTTACAACGGCGAGCTGATTCACAAGTCTCCAAAATTAAAGATAAACATAGATGTACTGTATTCAATCCTTCCGTCTGAAGCCTTATGGTGTGTTCGATGTAAAAGCGTATACGCACTGGCTATAGTTATATTTAAATAGTACCGCCCCTATTACTTAGGGCGGGGCAATTATTTATCTATGACAGGTGTCTAGTTTCCTAAGTGAACACGTTGACAAAATTGAACAATGGGCGAAGTTGGGCGCCCTTGCAGTAGTGTAGGCCAATGTGCAATAACCATAGCCACAGCCACAGACATAGACACGACAGAGACACGAGACAGACACGACATGGACATGGACATGGACATGGACATGGACATGGACATGGACATGGACACGGACACGGACACGGACACGGACATGGACATGGACATGGACATGGACATGGACATGGACATAGACATAGACACAGACACAGACACAGACACAGACACAGATACAGACACAGACACAGACACAGACACAGACACAGACACAGACACAGACACAGACACAGACACAGACACAGACACAGACACAGACACAGACACAGACACAGACACAGACACAGACACAGACACAGACATAGACATAGACATAGACATAGACATAGACATAGACATAGACATAGACATAGACATAGACATAGACATAGACATAGACATAGACATAGACATAGACATAGACATAGACATAGACATAGACATAGACATAGACATAGACATAGACATAGACATAGACATAGACATAGACATAGACATAGACATAGACATAGACATAGACATAGACATAGACATAGACATAGACATAGACATAGACATAGACATAGACATAGACATAGACATAGACATAGACATAGACATAGACATAGACATAGACATAGACATAGACATAGACATAGACATAGACATAGACATAGACATAGACATAGACATAGACATAGACATAGACATAGACATAGACATAGACATGTTTGTAGGTCAGTGGCCAAGACTTGTTTTTAGGTCAGTTGCCAAGACTTGTTTGTAGGTCAGTGGCCAAGACTTGTTTGTAGGTCAGTGGCCAAGACTTGTTTATAGGTCAGTGGCCAAGACTTGTTTGTAGGTCAGTGGCCAAGACTTATTGACATAATATGTTTTGGTCAAATAAGTTATTTTTTTTTTTCTATTTTTCTGATTATCAGTTTTAAGTGGAATAACTAGAAAAAATTAAATCGATATTTTTAGAAAAGTTAAAGTAAAGCCCCTCTTAAAGATCCATACTATAGATGAGTAGTATATTAGGTCACTTTTGGAGCGTATTCTTGGCGGAGGAGCGGATGGTGAGGAGCAATGACATATAGTAAAATACTAGGGAGGCGGATGCGCGGGATGGACAATGAGATATAGTAATATACTCCCAGCCTGGCGCAGCGGGATGGTGAGGGTGGGTGAGGCGGATGCGTCGGATGGACAATGAGATATAGAAAAATACTACGCCAACTGGCGTTGGTGGAGGAGCCGCAGGTACAATGAGATATAGTAAAATACTACGCCAACTGGCGCAGAGGCTGGGTGAGGAGCGGAGGGCGGATGGACAATGAGATATAGTAAAATACTCCCCCACCCTAGGGTGGCGGAGGAGTGAAGGGTGGGTCACCTTCGGTCACCTTGTGACGTAATTATTGACCTTGTGACGTAATTAGCGACATTGTGACGTAATCAATGACCTTGTGACGTAATTTTAATGCGTTTTTAATGAGTTTTAACGAGTTTTTTAAATTTTAATTAATTTTTATTAACGAGTTTGTAATTTGATTATTTGTTTACTTTTTTAATTGTTTAATTTGTTTGTTTACTTGTTGTTTAATTTAATTACTTTGTTTATATTGTGTAATTTTTTATTAACTAGTTACATAATTTGATTTTAATTTTTTAAATTTTTAATTTTTTAATTAAATTTTTAATTTTTTTAAATTTTTAAATTTTTTAAATTTTGAAATTTTATTGAGTAGTTACGTGATTGGATTTTAATTTTTAAAATTTTTAAAAATTTTAATTTTTTAATTTTTTAAATTATTAATTTTTAATTTTAAATTTTAATTTGTTTATTTGTTTATTTGTCGGTTTGTTTATTTGATTGTATGTATGTTTAATAGTAAACGGAGAGGGGGTGATGGTGGATGAGAGGGGGAGTAATGACGGGGTTTGAGGGTAGGGGTGTGCTAGCATGTACTAGAACATTCTTTGTATATCATCCATTTATCCGCGGCTAATCGTTATCTACACCTGTTACTTATCGATTCGCCAGCGATCCTTTGTTTTTGTCAAACACCGGACAAGGTCCAACTTAATATTGATCGCAGCCGCTGGGCCATCATCAACCTAATAGCCCGCCTAATTAATTTGGTCACGCATCATGGATTTTTCCCCGCTAGGTTTGACAGATCATGATGATTAATGCGAGCCATTAAGTGCCTCTCTGCGTTAAGTGTGGGAACAGATGTTACCACTTTAATGGATTTTACCGATCGATTTGTCAGCTCCGTGAAGCCATTAGGCAACAGCTGGTGCTGTAATTAGGCTGAACAACCGGGCTTTTTTACTACCTTGTTGTAACTATTCGCTTATAGCGAGGGTCAGCAAAAACAAAATATATTTAAGGGTTGGAATTTTCTTTCAACCACCGTTAAATCAGGTTTTGAGACGAAACGAAGTCTCGCTAGGTGCCTGCTTTTTAATGGGCGACAGGGCGACTTGGTGCGTTGGTCCGTGAGGTATGCGGGGGTAGACATGTATTTTACAAGTCTGGAAAAGTAACTAAGTTTTTTATGACCGTTCCGATTTTCTTTTGATCTGACCACCATTTGACCACCCTGAGCCAGATAAATTTAACAAGTGTTCAATACATATTTGCTTATAGTAACATGGGTGAGGGGTGTAAGCAGGTGGGTGACGGAGTGAACAGGTGATTGAAGGGTGAGCACGAAGGTGAAGGGGTGAGCAGGTCGGTGAAGGGGGACAAGAGTAGGAGTAAAGGATATATAGTAAAGGATATATAGTAAAAGATTCCACCACCTAAGTGAGGTGGGTGGGTGGGGAGGTGGATTTTAATTTTAATTTTTTATTTTATTTTTTTCATTATCTGTTAACTTTAAGGTTCTATAACTCTATATATTTAAATACATTTTTTTATTCAAACGAGTTTACTCCCCCTATCGTAAGTACATGTAAAGACGGATTTCCTATAGATATGTAATGAATTAGGCCTTTTTGACTATGACTTGTTGCCCAGGTGTTGACATGATACGCTTTTTTGAGATACGCACACACACACACACACACACATACAAACATATACACACGTACACACACACACATACACACACACGTACACACACACACACATACACACATGTACACACGTACACACACACACACACACACACATGCGCGCGCGCGAAATTCATACTAGGTCGGTAAAGGCGGAGAGAACTTATAGGTATACATTATCATGGCGACAACAAAAGCGACCCTTATTTTATTTACATAAAAGCGTCTTTTCCAAAAAGTGTCACCAGGCCGTTGCCATTTTCGCAGCGGGGTTTATTTTAAGTGCACCTTGTGCACGTTTGTTTACATTTTAAAAGACGTGTCGCGTGTCTTCCCCACATGTCTTCCCTAATAGAGAAACGAGAGCAAAGACAACTGTTCTAAAATTAGAACAACCTTGTTTACAGCCACGAGTATGTTTACAGCCACGAGTATCGTCCCTTGTGAAAAAATGTCGCGTCAGAATCCTTAACTAAACAGTCAATTTCTTTAACAAGTTAAAAATAATTTAGGAAGACAAGGGTTAACAACATTAGACGACACCGTTTTTGTTTCCTGTGACGACAAGGCACAATACACTTTTGTATTTTATGTCTCAAGTAGAGGGGTGGGATATTTTTTCTTTGTAAGCGTGTTGTAAACAATGGGTAGAGGCGGCGATTACTAAGTAAGAGCGGAGAGAACGTGACTTGCATCGCGATATTTGAAAACATGGCGATGTTTAACCTCAACCAAACAAGGCAATGAACCTAGATGGAAGACGAATATATATCTTAGTCTTGCAGCAGATTACCTTCCCATGTCTGGCTACATGTCATAAAGTAATCAATTATCCTTAGTACGTGAGCATAAGGCGCTCTTCTGTCGGTAGATAATTTCTTGATTCTGATTATTTTGTAAAGAGCTTGGTTTAAAAATAGAGTGATAATTTTTAACGTAACTAAAATGTCCACACGAATGTTTCTATAATTAATTTAACGGACAAACAGAATGGTTCTTATTTTATTCCATTACTTTAGCTTAACAGTTTCTTTTATCTATAGTCTTTTGCTCTATTTCTTTGAAGCTAAACATTATACAATTATGTAATCCGACGTTATGACATTGGCTAAATGATTTTCTAATATATTTGGAAGAATAGATTTATTACTTCCAGGTATTGCTGAATCTATTAAGGCACATGCGTTTCTCGATCTGTTCATTCACTCTCTAAAGCAATCATAAAGCTTACATTTCTTTGCTAACAGGTACATCAAAATGATCATACCTCTCCAATACAATGTGATCATCTATTGTGAGAACTCTTGCTTGACGTGTCCTAATTTCACATTTTCAAAACTCTTTGCCTGCTTATGGAAAACATATATTCACCAGAAACTAATGTCCTAAAAACTTTCTGCGAGGTAACGGTAGAGGCCATAGCTGAGTAATCACCACTAATATGGCTTTGTTTGATGCACACTACGACAAGCTTAGCTCCGCGATGACCGCTGTTTGTTTAAATAAGCATTTGTCACCTGATCGCTAAGGTGTGACCGACGCATAACTATTGACTTTAGTTGTTAGTTGTAATGTCCATGGAGGGCGGATGTCTTTCACTTAAGGCATGTCTCTGACATCTAAGCGGGCGGCCACCTTGACACGAAGGTGTGTCTTTATTGTTATTTCCTTCTCTTTGATCTAATTTCGTCCACCTGACATGGTTGGATTGCCTCATGTTTGTCAAGCCCACCTACGCTGTCTATCGAAAAAAATTCTTTAATCTTCGTATACTATA